TGCGGGGTAAAGTTTTTCTTCCGTGAAATAAAAAAATGTCCTCTCATCCGAAAACCTGTGCTCGGCTGGCTAATTCCGACAGTAAACCGTCACTTTCAATAGCCTCGTGCCGTTACAACGACCAATGAAAACAAACAGCAGCTTCACTTAAGATAATTAATATCACGAAATCAAACGAATTATTATTGCTACGTACAATTTAAACGGTAACAGTCCGTATTAACTTCAAATATCTTTGCTCTTAAATTATTTATTTCCATTATAACAATACATATTGCACCGTGTAAAAATACAGCTCGCAAGTCGAGCAATTGATAATGGGTAATTATACACTTAATCAAATGCTAAAATGGATACCTAAGGCGCGTTGATGCAGTAAAATAACCATAAAATAAATTAAAGTTATTAATAAATTATCATTCGCATATGGCGTTAAAGTGACGTATTCAATTTTTGTTTGTTCTACCACCAGTGTTTCCAAAGTTTAATTTAATGCTGTTAATAAGGTTCAGCACAGCTCCCGCCATCGTGACACAATAATCGCTTGGCAATTAATAACGTTCATATACCTCGACGTGCCCCGTCTTTCCTCGGAACGAAAATCTCCATTGTTATTATATAAGAGGAAAGTCTCTGGTTGCCGGCGTCTAAATTGAGCAATATTTTACCATTATTCAGGTCAAAAGCTGCTGCCGCATTTATATAAATATATACATTTATTACGCGAGTACACTGGAGACTTCTTTGATCGACACAGACACTATCCGTTTTCTCGTGGGTATTATACCTACCCATTTAGAAAACTGCTTCATGTAAAATAAACGCATGTTGTTTGATATTTCTAACAAATTTATATAATTAATTTACTTCAAACCAATAATTTTAATTATCGCAAATATCAATTTTACAAAGGAAACATCACCAAAAATATCAATGTAAGTTATTATAGTGATAAAGACCGATTTAAATAAAACAATAATAAATAAATATTTGTTCTTTAACTTGGTCTAAAAGTAAATCAGCCGACTGGATTTTATGCCCAATAATGATTTTTACAAATATACATAAGTATTATTAGTTAGTTTGTTTATAGAACTGCGAGCACGAAAAAAAATTATTCTGACGATATTTGTTTTTTCGGTCATTATTTAAAGGCAACCAATCTATCCACAGACATAAGCCATAATCATTCCTCCGCCCTAAAATATTAACTCTCCAAAAGCCTCCAATGAATGTATGCGTGCTTTGAGTACACTTACAAAATGATCAACAAATAAAAAGACTGAATAATAACAAAAAAAAAACTAAATAACAAAGTGTCGTACCAAAGTGTAATTAAAATCCACGACTGACTAAATAGAAGCAACGCGAAATTTAAACTAGAGCAACAATAATTAGTGACAAACATAATAAAGTACACGAAAAGGGCTACCACCATACATGTTTACACGTCATCATGTAAATGTGTACATTAAGGTGTGTCTGTCTCGATAGTTATCCAAATAAACAATCCTTGTACAAAATCATACCAACGCAAAATGGATTTTTAATAATAGAAAATACAACATTTTGAATTATAATCACAGCAAAATTTGTATTTGAAATAAAAAAATCAAATTCAAACAACTATTGAACGCATTTAAAAGCGTTTTATGAAAAATAATAATAACAAAAAAAAAGTTAAAAATAAAACACGTTTATTTCAAGGCAGACAATATCTGAGGATAAAGTCAAATAGAGACGACTTAGTTTGAAATGTTTTGAAATTCAATACGTTTATTGTTAAAAAATATTTAAGAAAATTTGAAGATTTGATGAAGAAACTTCTTGAATGTAACGCCGTCAACGGCATACTTGGGCTATTCATAATTTTTTCCACTCTTACCATTGGCTACACGTATTTTCCAAGAGTGAATAAACGTAGGCCCACAACTTTTCTCCTTTATATTATTGTGTTTATCCAACCAAAAGTTACACGTTAACGTCGTCTTTTTACATATTCTCAGAAAATGTATTTCGTTACAACCGTTCATATGTCAAAGTTTCGACCGGTAAAATCCAAACTAGTATTGTTATTTTTCATATATACACTTCTTCCGACGTCTACAGCGTGTATTTTTAAAAGTTGTTGGTTGCATGAGTTTCAATGGAAAAATATTACAATAATAATAGCGAAACTTATACGAGAATTTTTTTTTTCTTTGTGAGATATCAAGTGCTTTTGCTTAACACAAGACAATATCTGCGACTTCACGAGTACGAACACGGCACACCTAGACAACGTTATTGCTGCTGGTTGTCGGCAATTCGGTATTGTTTTCCCTTGTGCTTTAGCATTACTTCTTTATTATTTTCAACTAAAAAAATCACTCCTTCTCACGCGATTCTCACAATAGAATCATTAACGCTTTTTCATTATAAAACTTTTTCTCCGGCGTATGCCGTTCGGAGACTATAGAAAAGCGATTGCGTGCCCTTAATTTTACATTGCACACATAATAGACATTATAAATATTCGAGTAATGTAATTTTGGTAAAGCAAAGAAAAAATTAAGTCTGAGACCAATAACACGACTTTTAGCCCATACGAATAACTCATACACATGATCAAAGTAAAAGTTGACTTTAAATCGCACGGGTTTTAAATAAAATATTACACAAAAGTGATGTTATACGTAAATCGCTCATCTGGTTTTTGTTTTGAAACAACAATCTGATAAAAAACGTTAATAAATCTTTACACAATGGTGTTTTTCATATTTAATCTATTAGATCAAACAGCAAGTTTAAAGGATTAATTCGTAGCGATATAAAAACTCTAACTCCTTTAAAAAATGCAAATCAAAAACAGCTACAAAGTATGCGCAGGAATTAGTCTCTACGTAAAACTTAATACTACACAATAATTTAAAAAAAAAAAAAAACTTTTAACCTTAAAATAATACCTTTTAAGCTGTTACTTTCCAAACAAGTTTTATTAATTGTTAAAGGCGCGTTTAATTTTAAATTTCAAATAGGTATTGTAGCAGACGGAATAAAAAAAAATTTATTAGCTGAGGTCAAAGATATTATTATCATAATAATTATTTTAAGAACCCTCGAGAAATTTCCAACGTAAAATGGTAATAATATTATGAAGCTTGGTTTTTTTCACTGTCATAACTTTTTATATCTCGCTAGATTTGCATCGTCAATTATTATTACTATAGGCTGTGACAATATTTTAAAGAAATATTTTTATAACAAATTCGTTAAACATTTAAACTCTGCCAAGAGAGAGTATTATTATTGTTCGTTCGATTATCGTGGGGCAAACAAACCGAAGGATATTAATGGTAAACTAAATAATAACAAAAAATAGAGTAAATAACAATAATAATGTCTATATTATGTCGGTTTCAGGCTGCAACGTAATCCCAATAATAGCAATAGCATAAATAAAAAGTATATCGGTCATATACGTGTAAAACAGTTTTTTTATTTTACCTGAAATGAGTTGCAACTAGCTAACCACAAAAACCCGAGAGATTTATTTTGGTACATAAAAATTACAAGTTTACCATTTAATCGTTTATTAATTTTTAATTATGTGCACTGTCGAATTTTTAGTTTTTCAAAGTATTAGACAATATACAGAGTGTTCAGTGAGTAAGGAAACAAGTCGATTGTTACAAACAATGACAACAATAGAAACCCATTTCTTTACTTACTGAACACTCTGTATAGGTATTATTAGGAATGCAAAATTTGTCTATTAAAACTCAAAATTATAATTTAAATGAATAATCACAAATATATCCCACATAAGCCAGTCGTAGTCTAACTAATGTTGATTAACTATAAATATGAAGTGCTTCATAAATAGCTCGAGGATGTGCGTTTAACGTCAAAAGTCTACACCGAAAAACTAAAACAATATTTAATAACGTTCGTCAACTTTACAAATACCTATGCGCTTCACTTTGAGAAATAAACGAAGTTCGTAATCGTTCCACAATAATGAATAAGGTAAAAACTTTATCATGATTTACCGCGCAAAATAATCGAGTTACAAAATTCAACAAGATCCCGTTAATATCTGTAACAAAATATCAATCGCTAAAAGCACATAACATAATTACAATTTTCTAAAGTTTCTCAAAGTACGCAAAACTCGATGAAGTACATTTTGGCGAAGCGAGAACTAATTTTTTTTAAGGGAAATTGACTTGTACAACAGTTATATACATCTTGAAATAATTATATAAGACCAACAATATGCGACCACAAAAATAGACGAATAGAATAAAAAAAATACCACAAAAAGTTATCTATATTGTGCTGAAAACGCCAACTGCAGCTGGTAGAAATTAAACCAGAACAAACCGAAAAACTCGCATATGGTGCACTTCTAAATAAATTCTGAGATTGTACACACGAATGTTCAAACAAAGAAAACGATTAAGATGTTGCGTTATTTATTTTTATTATCCTTGTTAATTTTTTAGCAATCGCTTGGTTATACAATAACAAATATATAATGTTATATAATTTTAGTAAATTATACTTTTTACATTACTTAGTCACTATTAGGCAGGCATTATTATCAAACCAACCAAACGACTATGTCAGTCTGCGAGATTACAAAATAATCATAAAAAAACGTTTGTTCTAATATAGAACCGCATCTTTTACTGATGTATAATGAAGTATAAAATAATATCGTTAAGGATCAACATCGTTAAAAGGGATCACGTATGCATACTGGCATAGTATTGAAGAGAAAAAAATTCTAGGGTGGCTTACATAGGTCCAAACTCCTCAACCAAGGAGTGTGGACTTTCTGACCGCACCAATAAAACTTATATCCCTTGACAATTTTACGACCGTAGGGGTCATTTGCTTAAGCTAAGGCGTCACTAGGGACGTAACAAACGTGCATTTTAAGGAAAAGCTCCCAAAAAATAAAAATAAAAGTACTCGTCAGCAGTAAAAGCCACTTTTAAGAACCAATAACGTACCTGGAAAGCCCTTGTCCAGTATTGAGTATCTTGGGTTGGTTTCGAGGTCGAGTCGCATGTTTTCCTTAAGCCAGTAGATAGCTGGTGACGGGTTACCAGATGCCGAACATTGTAGCACTGCATTGTGACCGACTTCGATGGTTTTGTGAGTACCTGGTCCCTCGGTAATAACTGGGAAACCTTGAGGCAAGTCTTTTTCTTAAACAAAAATAAAATAAACAATACAATAACAATATATTCAACACAAAACTACACAATCCAATGGAAAGTACGTGTTTTTCCACGTAACAGCAACAAGTGTGGGTGTATACTATAAATAATGTTATAAACACAAGAGTAAACTGTAGTCATCGAATTCTCTAAGCGCAAGTATTCTAAGTACAAATATTTCTCAAACAATGAGATCGTTGCATATGAACTAACTAGGCAGGCAGGAGATATAGCGATAGTTGAGGTAGTGATGACCTACGACGCCTCGAAGGAGAAGCTGTCCTCTTTCAGTAAACAACTTTGCTGAATGGCAACGTGACACGTTTAATTATGACTAAAACTTTGGTTGTTAATTAACGTACAAAATTGGAAGATGGTATGCGGTTAACGTGATTCAGTAGACGAGAAACGCATTGTAGTACAGATTCCGGTATGTTAAACTTGTCTAGATCTTACTGGATCTCGTTATGTCAATAATAATTAGTAAATTAGAAAACGAAATTAGCATTTGATTATTAATGTAATTTAAAAACTAATAGGATGTTAAGATATAATAAAATATTAAATCTGCAAACCTAACAGTAAAAAAATATATATAACACAAGTAGTTAATACAATGTCTATTATAACCCATTATAACATTACATAACTCTCTATCAATATTAAATAAATTATACACTATGGCAAAAACGATATTTTCTTGACTCGAATCAAGGGAGGAGAAATATCTAATGAAAAAGATACTTGATGCACTAATTGTTAAGTGACGTTACATTTTTCAAAAAATATTTAATATCAATCAGTTTTCATCAGGTTGCGTTTACCCTTTAGCGATTTCATGAAATACTTTCCAAACACATAACATTGAAACTTGAACTATGTTCGTTTACACTGGTGACTACCTTTATTTCTCTAAAACTAATAAAATTTAATTAAGACAACGTAGGGTACCTTAGGGGCACGGCTATTTATCAGGCGGACCAACCCGAGTTGTTAATTACGGTTTATTATATTTCCATTATTGTTGTTGCTAATATGAAAACCAAGGAAACCGTCAAATATCAGGTTATAGATGGACAAGTCAATAGCTAACTATAGATGAACAAATTTGACGCTGTCAATAGCCAACAAATATTTCAACGATAAAATAGATTTATTGAATTATTTTTACTTAAATAGCTAATTACGACTAATTTCAGTTTCACAAGTTGAAAATTAACAAAAAAATTAAACTAATGTATTTTTCTCTAATTGCATATCATAAATTTATTTTCTATTTTACATGTTGAGTTTATAATAGGTAAATTAATAAATGAAACAAATTCTTAATATATTATTTATCACTGTCAACATATTAGGCTTTGCGAGTACGTTATATTTTTATATACCATATCATATAACTCCAACGAATTTTGCAGACAAATCATTCTTTTTAAATTACTAAAAAGCCATTACATATGAACTCAACTGAACCGTACATATACTTTATATAACGCACACCACACTTTCCAGCATGCACTTCTAGAAAACAAGAAGAATACACTAATATGTTTGTGGGAAATGTAAGGGAGTTTTCATATCACTTAAAAATAAACAAATTACTTTCATAAATTTATGTGTCTGTTACAATAAAGTCCATGCAAAAAGTATTAAGGGACATAAAAATACTATGTGAATACGTATTGAGAATTAAACAACCTAATAGGAGTAATATTTTTCTGAGTTGATAATTCAAATGAGTATACAAAGTGTTGAAAAAGTAACGAAACGGGTCAATCGTTACGTACAATGAGAATAATAGAAACCCTTTTCCTTACTTACTGAACACCCAATTTAAACACAAATATTTTACAGTGTCATACGTCATGTACAAAATATACCATCGAAATTTTGATGATGTCTCACAATTTTTGTATTCTTATGTGCACCTCTTTTTGTTTTCAATACACACGTCTACGGTGTCACGTTCTATTGGACTCAGGTGGTTCATCAGTAAACCAATCTGTTGGGATGACTGAGTTTAAGCAGACGAATAATTATTTAGGAATTATACATATATAGATATGTTGTATTCAATCGTTCGGTTGAACAATCTTCGTCTCTTTTAATAACGACCCAGATTGTGGTAAATACATAATGTAAAAAAAAAAGTCATCTCACCGACAACAGATGTGCAAAGGTCTTGGGGATATTGCGCTTTGTTCCACGACTACGGGTACAAAGCGCACCTCTTTTATTCTCAAGATGCATAACGATATTAAACCCCCCTACCTTCAACCGAAAGCAAGACACTTCCACGAAAAAGCAACGTGCCCAAGACCACGTCACGTTGATTTTATTTAGCTCATCTCGTTCGCTAGCATACGTTTTAATAAACCATTATCCATCCCTCGTTTTTATTGGATTAAATGTCTTTACAATATACATAAGAGCGAAATAAAAATGTAGAACGAATACACCATACAAGTTTAAAAAGGTCAACCTCACGTTTACAATTTATAATCGGTCCCAACGACCTGCGACCATACAACAGAAACTTACCCTTACACAAAAAGCCGACTGCTATTTACTTTTCATCGTTTAGTTAATCGTGGTTAAGCATCTGAGCAATTCTTTTGATGTTTCAATTTTAACTGAACTTCTAACTTCAATTTATATAATATACAAATTGAAGTCAGAATACATCCCCCTTATAATATATGGGGGACATTATTCATAGAGACTACCAAAACCCTTAATAAACTACATACCAAGAGATAACTTAAGTGATTTCGTACTCTTTCACGACAACCCACAATAGTATAAATTATGAAACGATTCATTATTTGAATCTCAATTTAAAATTTTCTCTTTTTTTTAAAAAAAATAATAAAAAAAGCTAAAAACTTTACATGTTATATTACGTCACAATCATTTCTCATATTGTAATGCATTCTTAATTTATTATTAAAATTAATTATACTTCATTAATTTTTCATTCAAAATACACTGCCACTATCTTTTAAAACTTCAAAACACTTAAGTGGTCTAAGAATATTTAAGTGTGCTGAGTAGATTATAGTAAGAATTTTTAATTATAATCATAAACACATAAAAAGGGATCCAATTACCAATTTAGCCGGAAAAAGTAGGTTTTATCAATTTTCGACGACCCAGTAAAGTTATAACTCTAGGGGCTTTCTTACTCTAATCGAATCAAACTTGTCGCTACCTTTTGACAAAAGTGACTCTCGAGTTTTAAGGGAAGAAGGTTCTACTAGAAGTAGGTATTTAAAGTCTTATACATTAATCCCGCATTATAATCCCCAATGGTGTATATAAATTTACATACATACGACACTGAATAATTTTGCAGTTTTGCATATCACATTGGAAGAAATACTGTTGAAGATTAAAGAAAAATATTATCGTCAAGGTTAATTAAGAGGAAAATAACGTTTACAGTGTAGATAATTTAAAATAGTACTTTTGAAAAAAAGAACTATTCGAGATTGCATTGCGTTGAAGAAGGTTTTAATTTTGACTAAACAAAATTTCTAGAAAAAAAATAATTAACCTTAAAATTTTTTCAACGGCTTTCAAAATAACGTTTATTATTTGATGGTCGTCAAATGGAATTCATTGGGTTACATTTTACGATCTTCATAATAAACTATTAAAACCTCCAATATCTCGAATTCTATTTATTTTTATGTGTACATTTTATACTTTGTCCTGATATATATATTTCTTGTTCATTTTCTACGACTAAAAACGCCCGTTACTTTGGTTGCGACATACATTTTTTACAATACCAGCGTCCGATGAAATGTGGATAATTTCAAACGTAGTTGAGCTCTGCTAACGGTGTTGGATTACAGACTCGTGTCTCTCGGTATTACCCAAGCCGGGAAAATGGAGGTGGAAGACGGTGGACATACGCGCTCAGTGTAATGCTTTTATCCAGGTTTGTGTAATAGACTTGTCACCTCCGTTTGCTTTAGTTTATTTGTTGTTTTTTCACGGGTCTAAATGGAACTTGTCACACACCAAAACCACTGTGAATGGGAGAAATCTTGACATTTTTTTCTTCTACTTGTACACATACACGAACGTCACCAGTCCGTCTTCGTTAAAAAAAAAAGCAGTAAGTCGCAGCGACGAGCAAGACAAATTCTACTTGTCCATGATGATTTATCTGGTCACGAATTACAGTTTCATTTTTGCCGTATACTAAAAGCAGCCAGAAACGAGGGCGTTTCGCATTATTCATAAACACTGTAATTATTTATTAATGCGAGTGAGTTTAATACTTTACGTTTCTCAAACCCGATTTTAAAAACTGAACTCTACACATATTTGCGTGACTGGTCTATAAAAACTAACGTGTGGTCGAATTTTATTTAACAGAAGTAAACTTTTAATGGGAATAATAATAATAATAATAACAGCACACCAAAAGTTCTTGGCGATTTCTATGGGAGAAATTTGTACAGCTGCGAGTTGCCGACACTGTTATCAAAAATAATAAATAAACTTTTCATTCGATCTAAGTTGGATGGACAACGATAAAGCGTATCAGAGCCGAGTAAAAAATTATTCGTCCAACACCACGTTCAAGCAGCAACACGTTGACGTTGACCGCGTGGAAAAAATAGTGGGCGGTTGCTTTCAAGTGTAGTAGCAATCGAAAAGCCGCCGACTATAGCAATTAATATTACTACCGCGGCGACCACTTGTGATCGTAATTGTAAAACAACGCTTTTTGACCCATTTATAAAAAAAAACGTTCACAAATTTTCATTAGAAACACCCGGGTGAGCTATCGCATAATAATCCAATAAATCCACTCGGAATTTCCGAACCTTTCTTAATGCGTTTTTTTTTTTTTACCGGATCGACTGCTTAAAGTTACAAACTATTAACAGTAATAATACATTATATTTTTGCGGTTGCCGATCTGTATCTGAAGGGGCACGTGTGAAATGTACGTAAACATAATGTGCACG